TGTCTGTGGCAACTACACGGAGCTCTGGGGGTCTGGCTCCCCCTGGGGCCACCCAAACCCTCCCACCAGACCCGGCCAGAGCCCTGCCGGCACCTCACCGAGCCAGCTCCGCAGGGTGATGGCTTTCCAGCTCTGATCAAAGTACATCTGTGTGACAAACCATGTGCCCAGCAGCGTGACCAGCAGTGCCACAAACCGGATCACACCTGCGAGGGAAGGGAGTGGAGCCAGGTAAGAGCAGCAGCAGCATGTGTTGGGGACCGGAGCATCCCCTTGGCTTCTTGGGGACTTGGTCTGTATTTCACCAGGTTACCAGGCACAGGGTGACAGCCAGCTCTTATGCAGCGTGTGAAGACAGCTAACACTCCTTCCTTCATCCTCTGAAAAGACTCTGATCTTTTAATTAATATCTCTAGAGTGTGTGGTGATGCTCATATAGGCATCTTCTACTGAGAGGCACTGTTCATGTTTCTCTCTGCATTAAAGTAAATCTGATAATTAGTCAGAAAGCTATGTAAATTCAAATATTTCTTTCATTCCCTGCACTGGGAAGGCTGCTCTCCCCCAATTAGTCACTAGCTACAGCTGAGCAGCTGCTAATACAAATGTGATTGGCATTTAGCTTTAAAGCAGCGCTCATCAGAGCAAAACGTTCCAGTCCTGCATGGAAAGAGAGTAGAAAAATATACTTATATTACAGCTGAATGGCTCTTATGGAACCAGGAATGTCTCAATAGCCATCTTTTTCCAGCCATAGAGGGTTTCAGTGGGAAAAATACAACAGGCTGAAATCTACACAAATCTTTTAAAAACCTGATGCTTATGCAGCTTATACATACTTTCCTATGTCCCTGGCAGGGGAAGGTCAGGGTAAGATGGACTTGGAAGGCATCATTTAAATGAGAAGGAGGCCTAAAGAACTGTAGGAAAACAGACAGAAAAAAGTAAATCTCTATCTCTCTCCTTACCTGGCACCCGCATAGTGGTGGGGAGAGAAAGCACAGGGGGTAGTCAATGGTCACAGGTCACCCTGAGGAAAAAGAAGGAAATACCATAAAGCATTCCTGTAGCCCACCAAAGCAAGGCAGATATTAGATAAGAAATAATTGCTATGTTTAGGCATGTTTGCAATATGAGGTCACCAAAGATGTATAAATTCCTGTCAGGCACATGTGGTCGGTCCCACCCTGATGTCGAAGTCCTGGCTCCCGTACGGTGGAGCAGGCTGCGCTCACTGAACTTGCTTCATTTTTAAGCCTCTGATCTCTTTGCTGTCACCATCCACTGCCCTGTGCATGCCTGTTTCATGTTTGTTTCTCAGTGATGGATCATGCTGTTCTATTCTGCTGATAGCGATGAGGTCGAGGAACATATTTTCAACCACAGCTTTGCTTTTGTGGTTTCCTTCTGGGATGATGCAAGGTAAATTTCAAGTATTAGGGGCTGCAAAATACTGTTTGAGGACAAACAAGCTGCAGTTTTGCCGTGCATGGTCAGGCACTTCAGTGGAAACAGACTTAAAACCAGAAAGGGAAGGGCAGTGCTGCTGAGCTGCGGAGAGCAGCCGGATTTGGGGATGCCTGACCTAAGAACAGAAACGTTATCATTGTAATTTGGAGCTATTTTCTATTTTCTATCCGAGGGAGTCCCTCTTCCCCCAGCTCTCCTGCCTCCACGCCGACAAGATGGGACACGCATCTGCCACCCCACGCACCAGGCTCCCAAGGACTGGGGACCCACTCCTACCTTTGAAATTCAGGGCTGCAGCTTGATGGAGGTCCGTCCTGGAAACTGTCCTGGAGTCCTAAGGCAAATTGTTACCTGCGAGACATATGCTCAGAGGTAAAGAGCCAAATGTTAACTAAAGCAGCCCTTTAGTGAGGCTCGGCACAGAAAATTTGTGAAAGAGCTATGCTGGGAGTTGCTTTTCCTGTTCGAAGAGTAAATAAGGAGCAGCAGGTTGCAGCAGGGCTGGGCTGAAAGTTAATTTTGGTCTGCTGCGTCATGAGGAAGGAGAGAAGAGCTATGCCTCCTGCCCTGCCCTGCTCCTGGTGCCTCCCTGAGTTCAGGGAAATTGCCTGTGCCCATGTGAGTGACCATGGCCGCAGTGCAGTGTCCTCTCTTGGGCCCTGGGCAGGATGGACCTGGCATCCCCTTCCTTGGCAGCCTGTGAGATGCTCCCCTTGGCTTCCCCTGCATCTTTGGGTAGGTTCCAGCATCACTGTGCAGGGGATTTAGGCAGCTGTAGAAACAAGGAAGAAAAAAATCTTCATTGCAGGAGGAACGCTGTTGCTTTCCTGCTTGGCCTGAGACCCCAGAGGGTGTTTGCAGTGGGCTGAGGTGGCCAATGCCCAGTGAGGGTGCCAGCCCTGCACTGACACTTCAGCTGTCCAGAGCCCTGTGCTGCTCCCTGTGAGGTCCCTGCGCCCACTCCTGCGGCCAGGAGGAGCTGCTGAAGCCAGCCTGGCAGGGAGCTAGTTCTGCACATGGGAAAGTGGCCTCATGGCTTATCTGCACTTTAAAGGAAGCTTTAGAAGGTATTTGTGTACACTCCGGTATCTTGGCACTGTGGTTTTGATAGGATATCAGCTAAGCACACTTGCTTCCCAGCAGCATCTCGCTTCTCCTCGCTGCAGCTATTCCTGCCAGAGAAAGGTGGCTGTGAGCAGGAACCTGTCTCTGTAGGAGCGGCTATGGGAGTTCGTGATGCCTGCACCCCCTCCCTGCACCCCCTTGTCCTGGCCCATCCCAGCCCCCAGCACGATATCCCTGAAATTGGTTTTAAATGAGTGTCGGAGCTGGCATGAACAAACCTATTTCACTGAGCTGGTAGAACAGCCACAGACCTGAAAATGGACAGTTTAAAGTTTTTGGAGGACAGGTGCTGCTCGTGGCGGGATCTGGAGGGACAGCAGGCTCTTGCCTTTTGCTCCTTTCAGAATAAAGTTTTGCTTTTTGAATACAGGGAGCGTCTCACACACCTCCTCCCCAGCCCAGTGCCTCATGTAGTGATGGCTGTCCTAGGGGCAGAACAGCCCTCCTTAAAATCCCCCTTGGCAAGTCACGAAGTCTTTGAAATTGGTATTGATTTGCTTTTGGAGCTTGTCAAGTTCCCCTGCAAATGCCACAAGCAGAGCCTGGAGCTGGTGAGGATTTGGACCTGGTCTGTGATTTGGACGCAGCGAGAGGAGCAAAACTCCCCTGGGTTTCCAAAATCATCCCCATCTGGTCCCCACCGCTGTGAGGGACAGCTGCCTCACTGGAGCCTGTTGTGCTCTCCTTCACCAAATTTGTGGGGTTTTCTATGCACGTATTGATTTTGTTGCAGAAGAAGAGAAAGGGAAAAATAAACCAATAAACAGTACAGCTTTAAGGAAGTCTTGAATTTATTTGGGCTATTTATTTCACCTTAATTCCAGGTAAAATTTATTGATCGAACTCCCTGGGTGGTGAAATTCCTGGAACCTGACTGTATTACAAGAGGGTAGTCTTGTCCTGACATTTCTATTATATTCTCATTTAATTGTTTGGCTTGGTTTTTATTATTCTTTTTTTTGCTAAGGCTGTGCCAGAAAAAAAGACGACTGTGTTCTGGCATCTGCCAAAGAGTGACTTGCAGGAGAGGAAGAAAGGAACGAACTGTGGTGGGTGTTAAATGGAGTTATTTGTCTAATAAACTTGCTTCTTATTTGCTTTAAAATCATTCCAGGAACAAAAAGGTTCTCAGATAAATATTGCTAAGAAGCTCTGTGGCAAAGGCTCGGGACAGAAGTGCTTTTGACTGCGCTGATTTATGGCTTCCAAGAAGAAACCGGGGCAGATCCCTGCCCTCATAGGGAGGTTTTCCAGGATGCAGCGAGTGAATGTTCCTGTTTCCTCCCAGCGCTGCTGAAAAACTTCACTTCTCCAGAAACTTCTGCCTTTGGTGTGTTTGTTTTTGTTTTTTATTCTCCTGCTTTTGAGCCCCACATGCCCCTTTCTCTCTCCCAGCAGGTCCCTGACCGTGAACACGACATTGTTTTGGTGCAGGGTGGGGATGTGGCTCCAAGGAAGGGGCCTGCCCACAGGCAGCCAGTCGCCTTTCCAAAAGCTGGGGTTTTCCAGCAAATCTGAATGCAGAGGTGCAGAACAGGGGCTGGTGTGGTGTGGGTGCACATTCCCTGTGTGTCCAGGGCTGGTCCCACCACAGGAGGATGGAGCGTGCTACAATGCCATTTAGTCTCAAAAGGAGTCAACCTGTCTTGAGCTTTGCCGTGTTACTCAGCGAGAGAGCTCAGAGGTTGTAAATTCCTCAGCTCATAAAAATTCTTGTCCCGCTGCTGCATCCACCAAAGGGCTGGAGAGGGCATCTTACGGAGTAACTGCCCCCAGCACAAGTCAATAGTTAAACCTGGGTGAGGCCCTGATCCTGAAACAGAAGCCAAACAGGACACACAGTGGTGGTGGGTAGGGGCGTGGGTCTGGGGCCAGCCACGGTGGCTGAGACCCATTTGGGAGCAGGACTGCAGCCAAGGTGGGACGTGACACCTCGGGGTGCTGCTGCCCAAGCACAGGGCACAGGTGTGTTTTGGTGCCTGCTGCAAGCACATCCCTGCCTGCTACAGGGCAGGCACAGCCCCATCCTGGTGCTGCCTGGTGTTGCCAGAGGAGCATCACCCATCCACGGCTGCCACTGTTCTCTTATTTGTTGGTGGTGGTTGCTGGTCCAGTTGTCTGTACTTGTCACTGAGCACAAAGATAAATCACTATGGACCCACTTCTCTGGTGATGGTTCCCCAGGCAGCGAATCAAGAGCTGTGGCAGCAGTGAGAGAAGGAGGGGAGAGACTGCAAGCCCTCTGGGATGTGAGCAGCAGCCCGCAGTTCCCGTGCTGTGGATTGCAGGTTGTACCAAAGCAGCCCATGCCAAAATGCCAGGGCAAAAGGAGGGACACAAGTGTGGGTGCTCAGGGCTGGCAGCAAGCTGTCTGCTGGGACAGGGTGCTTCTTGGTGCCGAAAGCGCGGGGTAAGCATGGGCCATGCAGCCATCCTGCCACTGGTCAGGCACTGTGAAGGGCGCTGGTTTTTGTTAACTGCCCATACATAAGGACCTGAAATGCATCTTTGGCAGCTAGCAAAGCCCTGAGCGCCAGCAGCTTGAGGGCTCCTGGCTGGTGACTGGGAGGTGTCCCATCAGTCAGAGTTGTGTGCTGGAGCTCTGCATAGTGAACACCCTGCAGATTCATCCAAAACCATGATGGATGAAGGGGTTTCACCCAACCATCACACAGCTGATTTCACCACGTATCTGGTAA